TTAAAAAGAAAATATTCTGTTCAGTTTTATGGATTTTCTCCAAAAAGATATTACGTATAAAATATGTATGAAGCACATAATTCCACAAATAAGAATCAAGTTGACAACAGACATGCAAGAGACTTAGCATACCACATTCAACGAGTAATGGAATGAGTTGACACTTGACATATACAAACCTTTTTAAAAGTAGTTTTCTTCCCAATCTGGGATACACGCGTTAAACATTCAAAGTATTACTAATAATATCAACGAAATAAAATAAAAAATTAAGGGAAATGGCCAAAAAATTAACAACTATCAAACGTCCCAAAAAAAAATGTTTGCATGTTGACTCAAGCCATGACCGAATTAAGTTGTAAGAAAGATTAGGTTCATTGAGCTAAGTTCATAGATAGTTGGATGAGAATTAGGCCAAATTAAGAGTAAATGTGAGATTTTTGAATGAAGGATAAATGGGTGAAGATGAAAAGGTAATTAACCTTTGTTTTGAAAACAAGGTTGCATTCTAATTACTTTTTAGTATAATGATAAAAGTACCCTAACGTTTGATTAAATAGTTATTTGGTCTATATTCTCTCTTTCTTTAGCATTTTGGCCTCCAACATTTCATTTTCGGGTAAAAGATCCCTCAGTGAATGGAAAACATTAGTTATCAAACGGTTAATGTTCCAACATAGGTACCTTTTACCCTAAAATGAAATGTTGGGGGCCAAAATGCTCTCCCAAAAAGGAATAAAGGCTATAGTGACCTATTTAGTCAAATGTTATGATATTTTGTCCTAAAACAAAACGTTGTAGGCTAAAATGCTTCAAAAAAAAAAAAAAAGAATAAATGACAAAAAAATGATTATTTAGTTAAACGTTAAAGAAATATTTTTATCATTATACCTTAATTTTTTCTTGTATTTACATATGGAAAATGGGAGCAAAATCTGAGGCATGACATCACACTTCTTCTTTCATCTCTTTCTCATATCTTCTTCCTTTCAAAACCCTAGTGTGTGACCAATGGAAGAGAAAACTTTTTCATTCTAATCGTTTATCCAATAAGGTAAGAATCATCACCTCATTCTACGAGTTTCAAAAAAATCTTATCATCATTTTTAAAAGGTGATGTAAAGTTACTTGAAGGGTTTTTATGTTTTAAGTTCGTAATTTTACTTTTTTAATCTATTGTTCGATGTATGAGCCATTTATATGTTTGTTTAGCTAGAAAAAGAAGTTGATGAACCCTCATGAGCCACAAGAAAGGTGAAGATTGTGGAGATCTAGCAAATGAGGTTCTTTTATTGTTGTACGTAGAGATAGTAACATTTAACTCTAAATTGCTTACAGAAAATTATAAATATTATTGTATGTTTGATACTTTTATGATGAGTGTTTTTGGAAGGTATGATCAGAGGCGAAGTTAGGTATCATCGGGGTAAAATATAATTAATAATAGAAAATTAGATGGTAAATTATAATTAACGATAAAATATATGAAATACAATTAGAATTTGGGTTCAACTTATATACGTTTCTTTATATAATTTTTAGGGTAAACTTCATGTTTAATATCTAAACTATCACTTTTGTTTCGTGTTAGTACTTAAACTTTAATTTTTTCAAAATCATACTTATATTTACAGCCTTTTGTTTCATATTAGTATCTCACCATTAAAAATTTAACATAATTAGCATTTCTTATGGGTAATTTTCATCACTCGATTATATTCTCACTCTTATTTTGGTCTCTAAAGTTTAAAATAATTCAATTTAACTACTTAACTTTCAAATTGCTATTGTTTTAATCACTATAATTTATTTTATTAGTATTTTTGTGACATTGTTATTAATATATAATTAAAATAAAAAAATATTTTATTAATATAATTTATTTTATTAATATATAATAAAATAAAAAATTAAAATTATACCATAAATCCTAAATCACAAACCGATCACCCCACCCTTGTGGCCTCATTCTTATCGGCCTCCCCAACTCGTCCCTTCCTTTTTTATTTTAATCATATATTAATAAAATAAAAACTAAAAGATGTTACATCATAGAAAACATTAATAAAATAAGTTAAGTGATTAAAATAGGAGCAATTTGAAAGTTAAGTGATTAAATTAAAAAAATTAACTTCAATGATCAAAATAGGAGTGAGAAGATAATTGAGTGATAAATACTGTAATTTACCCAAAAATGTCAGTTAAATTTTTAAAACTAAAATGAAATAAAAAAAGTTAAATATGATTTTGAAAAAAAAGTTTAAGTATTAAAACATAACAAAAGTAATAATTTAGATACTAAACCTGTAGTTTACCCTAACTTTTAATAGAAAATGGAGCGCAGCTTCTCTTTCCCAAGTAAAGGGTAAATAAGTCATGCCAATGATAGTTTATATGAATTTTAATATTATTAAGTTATAAAAATCATGCTAAATAATACGGTAATATTCTCATAAAATTTTATAAATTAGTTAGAGCTTTAAAATGTATTTAGAGGATAGTATGTGTGGTTTTTCAAGCGTTACTAAATTGACATTTTAAAATTTTAAAAATAACTCTTTAGATAAATCATAATCATAATTATTATTTTAGATATAAATTTATATAAAATACAAATCTTCAATAAAAAGTATACTAAGAATTTATTTAATATTTTAATAATAATTAAATGTGAATGCAAGTGAATAAAACTCTTACAAAAATATTTGAATAAAAACTATTATGATTAAATTCAAAGTGTTACAATTATTATATAAATTAAAATTAACACTATAAATAACATGTTAGGTATTTTCAATCACACGGTGTCAGAAGGAGATGACGACCAAGGCGGAAGTGGGAAGACTGCTTGAGATCTAATTTGAAGGATCGAGCCCTTACCGAGGACATGACCTCTGATAGGAAAATATGGAGACTTAAGACCAGAGTAGCCGAGTAGTGCGGGTCACATCCATACAGTGCAACATCTATGTCTTCTTTCTAATGCCTTTGTAGTAATTTCCATGACTTCTATTTTTTATAAGTTTCTGTAATTGGAATTTATGAGGGCTTAGAATTAGGGTAGCGAAGTAGTGTTGTCTTAGTTTAGTTTTTAACCCATTTGACTTTATACCTTATTGTAGCTTGCTATCGTTGACTTTTGTATATCATTCTCTTCAGGTTTCCTCTTTTTAAATTTATATGGGTCTTACGTTTTTGTCTATATGCAGAGATTTTTACGCAGAGATTTATTTACAGGGATTACTTCCCATTACATACGCGCATATGAAGACTGTTCAACGATGTATTTATTTATTTATACATGCATTACATTTTAGCTTTATTTTTAATTTCCTGACTGTCGGAGGTCTTCCACGGAAGCTGCTCTCAACCTGGCGTTGGGGGCAGCCTACTACCTTACCTCCCCCTTAACCCATTGCATATAAGAATAGGGTTTTGTTGTTGTTGTTGTTGAATCACATGGCAACTAAAGAAAATAAGATTATTCTTTACCAAAGAGAAAAAAATAAGAGTATGTTTGTTTCACGTAAAATGTTTTCTTCATTTTCCAATGCTTAGTTGGAGGAAAAATAGTTTGTCAACGTAAAACATTTTCCTAGTCAACATAATTTCTTTTGTGTTTTCTGGAAAATGACTTACGGTCTAATTTTCCGTAAGTCATTTTCTAAACTTTTCACTTCAAAGAATAAATACTCAAAATAATTTTATTTTTTGAATTTAATATTAATAAAATATATTAATATAATTTTAATCAAAATATTAATTATTAAAATATGTAAAGTATATTTATAATATTTCTAATAATACTATTATACTTTTATATTATAATAAAATAATCAATTATATTATAATATAAGATATTATATTTTTATTTTAATAATATATAATAATATATAATAAAATTTATATTATTTATTAATTTCATATAAATAATATTATTAAATTATTAATAATGAATAATATTATTTATAAATTTAATATTAATCTAATAATATTTTAATAAATATATTTAAAATATATTAATTAATATTTTTAAAATATAATATAACACTATTACTTTAATAAATAATTAATATAGTTTATAATATTTTTATTTCAATAAAATGAACTAATATTAATATTTTTATTAATAAAATTATAGAAATAATATTATAATAATAAATAAATTATTTTAATATTTTAAAAATAATAATATTACATTTTATGATAAATAATATTATTTATTGTATTTAATATTTGTAATAAATAATTTTTAAAAATTCATCAACTAGTGGAAAAGAGTTTACACAACTTCTTCCAAACATCGTAAAACGTTTTCCAAAAAAATGTTTTTCAAAAAATTTAATTCAGTTAATAGAAAATATTTTTTGGAAAAATGTTTTCAGTGAAATAAATAGACTATAAGATTATTAATATTGGTAAGTTATAAATTTCTCAAAGAATAAGATTCTTTGGAGAGTAAGTGTCTATTTATATTCTAATGATAATGACGTTGAAAAAAAAAGATAAAAGATCGTTTTAATCAATAATGAGGTAATATAAAGCTTCAATTAATAATAACATGTTCTTGTTTATTTTAGTTTTAATTATTATATTACAGTTACAATTATTTGTTTATAAAATATTTAATTTTACAATCATAAGTTTTTATTATTTATTTTAATTATTTATGTAATTTGTAACTCTAACCAGGGATGGATAGCATTCCCCTGAAAATTTAAAATTATCATATGTTTTAGATTTTTTCTATGTATTTTCTATTGAAAATATGTTTTCGTCCTTGGAATTTTAGTTCGCCCTCCAATACAAAATCTTACTCCCGTCCCTGAATCTTCAACTTAATTCGAAAACCACTTTATAAATTAATCTCGATAACTTGAATAGACGGTAAGCAATATAGATCATATTAATTTTAATATTTTAAATAACAATGAATAAGCAAACTTAAACTTATTTGATTTGATGTTCAACATCAAAAATATTATAAATGTTTACATTAATTTTGCAGAGATGGAAATAAAAATGATCATTCTTCATTAGACGTGATCATAGAAACATAAAACTCTTATAAGGTTGTGCTCTTATTATGACTAGGGATATTTCAGAGTATGGTATCCCAACGGATTTTTAACATCCATTTTTATTATGCAGTTACTATTATTTGCCTTCAATTTGCCGACCAACTTCCATGGCTAGCTTCACTTGACGCTGCAATGCAACAACAAAAAACAAACACATCGGTTAATCAATTAACAAATTAACCATTAGCAGTGATACTAGCTAATTGATGTTATAAAACCTTTTGCAGTCAGTGGAGGGGCTGATCTTGAACGGGATGTTCACCCCGCACATGCCTGGGAGCTTGTTGGTAAGGCCATAGTTGATGCCAGGAATGCCGGCAGCCATTCCTTTGATGCAGTTGCAAGCCGATTGGCGGTCCGGTGTTGATCTGGCGGCCCTGTTGAGAGATTTGATCCCGTTACAGCAAGTTGCAGGCACACCACTACTGGCACCGTTGTTTCGTACGTAAACGATGCAGGGTGCCAGGTACGATACGACCTGGCCGCAAGTGATTGCCCCTTGAGCCTGGGGTGCAGCCACGGCCAAGCACAGTACCAGAACACATGCGAGTTTAAGGGACATGGAGCAAGCCATATTGGTTTTAACTAGAAGAAAACGAACAATGGAAAGTTGATCGTTGCATGGTTAGGGACTAAGCGTTCAAGGGTATTTATAGCAAAGAGTTGGGTGAAAGGATATGGCATGCTGATAAACTACGTACAGATACAACAACGTTAGGCATTGGTGGTTGTGGCTCAATTCAATGCAAGGGCTCTTTCTTTCCTTTTCATGTTTAGGCTTATGTTTTTTAGGTATCTTTAATGCTTGAAAAATAGGTTGGATCTACCACTTTCCATGGGTTAGATTTACCAATTCCCATTGGTGTTTATGGTTCGGCCGGTTCCTATATAGTAACATACATGCATACATAAGCACAGTTCGATCTAGAATTGAAATTTAGCACGAATCAAGCTATCTTAATAATTAAAATGATAGTTATTGTCCTTATAGGTCTCGGGTTCGAGTATCTGCATCTACAATGGTGTTTGAATATTTATTGTCAAATGATTTAAAATCTTTAGAACATATATTATGTTGTAATTGTTGTGGAATTCGGGTTAATTTCCACCAATAATAATAAATTCACCTTGAAAACTATTATCTAGGTGACTAGTGTGAAAACGATTGTACTAAAAATCACCCCAAGGTAGATTTCCAGGAAAGAGGAGGGGTCACAATGGTCCCTCTTAAAACCCATTTTCCTTAAACAGAACTACCAAGATAAGTAATTTTAATAGGACAATAATTAACAACAACTATACCCGACAATAGCTATTAAATAGCCATAAAAGAGAATACCAAAATTTAACGAGGTTCGACCAAAATTATGCATATGTCCTCGAACACTACTAAAATAATATTTCACTAATAGAGAAAATATTACAAAGAGAGAAAGAGTATGTAACATCCCAAAATACGGGTTAGTGACCAAAATTGTAAAATTTCAGAATATGGTGATTAAAGTATAATAGTTTAATAGTTTAATGATTTGTTCGGAAATATTTCCTAAAAGTTTATAGTAATTATCCAAAGAATTAAAGGGCAAAATGGTCATTAGACTTGAAAATTATAATTAAATGATATATATATATGGATAAGGATGGGAGATTTTCCAGAAATCTCTTCTCTCTTTTCTTCTTCATTTCCTCTTCTTCACGTGTGAAGCCAAGCAAAGGTGAGTTTTCTCTTGAGCTGATTATGTGCTGAAATTTAAGTTTAGTTTTGATTATTAGATGCTAAGTAAGATTAAGGAAGGATTAATTTGCTTTAAAACAACAAAATGAAGAGTTTATGAGGATTTAAAGATTTGGAGTTTTTGAATGAAATATCGAAATAAAGTTTATATTGAGAATTGAAAGTTGAATTTGACTTGTCATCAAGTTAATTAAGGGATAGGAAGTGTTAGAATAGGAATTTGAACATGTTGCAAAACTAGTATAATTTTTGCAATTACATAGGAATGACTAGATTTGAAGTTAAAGAAGTGATTATGGAATAGAAATAAGTTTAAGTATGTGTATTAAAGTTAGGAGCATTAAAGGAATTGAAATAGGAAGGTTTGAGTTGAAAATTGATGATTTTCGAGCTTAGAATACAATTTCTGGGTAGAGGGAACCGATACCCTATGAATGGGAATCGATTCCCCCTCTTGAACGAAAAATTCCAGTATGTTCAGGGGGTATCGATTCCCCTGGGGGGGTATCGATTCCCCCTAAATGAAAATATAGAATTTGATTCATTAAACCGGTTTAAATTATTAACATCAAGTTTAAAGTTTAGGCTTCTGATAGTTGTTTTGAAATGATATATTTATGTAGATATTGAGCCTAAACAAGTTCCGGAATAATCAAAGGATTATAATCGAATCAAAGCAAGGCTAAGGTGAGTGCAATTTAAATTGTACTTATGTGATTGATCAAACATTGGCTTGCGATGAGTCAATGATAGAGTTACTATAGTAAGAAGTAACTTATATAATGTTATGTGATTACTACGTGTGCATTAGTATATAGAAATGGATGTAGGTTTATATGTTACATGATTTACATGCTTACGTGAAAAATGCAACATATGATATTAGATATATGTTTACACATACATGTGGTATGTGATAGAAGAGAAGGAACATATGATTATGAGATCCATGATTACACGTACATGTGATACGTGACTGAAAAGAAAAGATATGTGTTTATAAGAGAAAGAATATGAATAAGTAATGTGAACTGTTATAAATGATAATGCCCATGTTATGTGATATGAGAGCTAGGGGTATAGTTGGCATGCCAAGGGTCGAGGGTTTACCTATGTTCTTTGGGACATATGGACTGTTTACCTATGTTCTTCGGGACATATGGACTGTTTACCTATGTTCTTCGGGACATATGGACTGTTTACTTATGTTCTTCGGGACATATGGACTGATTACCTAGGTTCTTCGGAATCTATGGACTGGTCCTTCGGGACATTTATATGAGCTGTAGTGACAGCATAATAGTGCATAACCTCAATGTACTCACATACCTTAAGTTCTCAACAGTGTACATGGGCTAATAAAGAGATTTAATAAGTATATGAATGATATGTATATGTGATTTGTTATATGTAATAGATCACAGGATTTATGTAAGGATGTTAAATTGCAAGGATATATGTACATGTGAGTATATGTTATAGAAATTACATGATGAGTATATGGTAAGTTAAAGGGATTAATGATAGTATTCGCAGATGTATGCCTTTTATTTATAAGAAATGATATATGGTTATATTATATGGTTTATATGCCTCACTAAGTCATCGACTTAGCGTGTGATTGTTTCACACGTAGGTATGGAAAGCGAAAAGAGAAATAAAGAGGGAGCAAGACATGTCAGTTCTTCTTACCAAATGTCAGATCAGAAAATATATGTACTGTATATAGAGTGTAGTTGGCATGTAGTCTAAAGATATAAATTGTATGAACTCTGATCTATTTTGTAAATGTTTTGAATAAGTTAAATGTTATCAAAGTTTTTAAATTACTCATTATTTTATACGAATAAATGTTTGAAAAGTTAATGTGACACTTCGGACTCGCCTCCGGGTCGGATACGGGTTGGGGGTGTTACATTTAATGGTATCAGAGCTAAGGTTTAGCCGATTCTCGGCATAAACCGAAGTCCAAAGTGTAATAAAATGTGTACATGCCAACATAGAGTGAAAAATTTCTGATCTGATAGGGTAAGGAGTGTGATGTCTTGTTAATAGAGTTAAATTGTTATGTGATATAAGATAAGTGAATATTGAGAATGAGTTATGAGATATATATATATATATATGTTTATATAATATGATAGATGATATGTGAACATATACAAATGATATACGTTATATGATATGAATTGGATGATCATATGCACACGTGATATGTAATAGAAGTAAGGATATGAGCACATGAATATATGAGAGCTTCCAAAGTGAAGCACAAGGCGATAGACCTGAGAGTAATAACATTCACCTGCCCTGGCCAGGCAGGGAGAAGAGCGAAAACCTCAGGGAATGTCTGTATAAGATTAGAGGATGATTCATGATGTTGAATGATATTCCGATGTGTTTTTAATTGTATACTTCGTTAACTCTAGAATGAATGTATCGAAATAGTTAAAAGAGTTATGAGCACCTGATCTCAAGGGTGAATTTGAGGAAGGCTCTGTTGTTACAGACCTTTGGGTATATGATATGAAGATAATGCTAGAAGATGTTCATTTCTCCATAGTGGAGAAATTAAATTGAGAAGTTTGTTATTATGTGGATAAGATGGAATATGGTGAACGAGTGTTACCATAAGGATGTTAAAAGATCAAGTGACGTTGTTATTGTTTGTAAAAGAGTTTGTATTCTAGATGGAAATAGTTAGCATTGGCTAACAAGAGTATGTGATGAAAATGTAATGGAATTATAATATATTGACAGGTTATGATAACCAAATATGAGAGGAGTTGGATACAGTTGTATAGTTTGATCATTGTAAGGTGTTGTGGTGAAGAAGATAAAGATTTGTATGTTTGAAGGAAATACAAGTACAATAGATGATAAGAATGAGGTTCTGTATAAGTAAAATTGATTATCAAAGTTATGAAAAGATATAGTTTAGTTATGTTATAAGAAGATTTTGATAATGAAAGGATTAAAAATGATAAAGGATTATAAGGAAGTGAAGATTATAAGTTTGATTAGAAGTAAGAAAAGTATGTAAGGTTATATAAAGAGATTATGTGTATCGTAATACAGACAAGGATGAAAGAATGAGTAAAAGTTTGGATTGCGGTGAATTAATTAGAAAATGAGGAAAGAAATCAATTGATTGATTTTTGATGTTGAGTGATAAGAATTGATGTTACTGTCTACAGGATAAGTAACAGTATATGAATGAAATCAGAGTTATGAATTTGAAACAAAGGGATAGTATTGTGTATAAGAAAGAGTGTGGAGATGATAAGGATTTGTACTTTAGAATGAAAGAGTTAGCGTTGACTAACAAGATTTTGTGATGAGATTGTATTGGATATAGTTGTATATTTTGATTACGTAAATGTGATATAGTGAATGAAGTGAGGATTTGTATGGAAGTGTAAATGATAAGTTCGATATAAAAACACGAAAAGTGTGCAAGGTGATGTGAAAATATTGTTTGACTCCTTAAAGTATATGTTTTATCACAATTGAATAAGATTTAAAGTTGAGTTTTGGTCAAATGATGACGAAATACAAGTTTGGTATGGTTATAAGGTAATTAGAGAGTTATGAAGAAATATGGATTTCTGATATAGAGTGATGAGATGGATGTTACTGTCAATGTGATGAGTGACATTATATGGAATTTTAGAAAGGTCAAAGGAAAAATGTATAATCGAATGAGAGAAAAGACAACAATGGATTGGTATTACTGGTTATTGTTTATATGATAAGCAACAGAAGATGAATGTATAAACAAAAAAGATAGTTGGAAAATTAAAGGATTGAAAAGTAAGTTTCTGATGATGACACGAAAGAATAAGTCAGGGAAGCAACATAAGAACATTAGAAGATATGTTCTTATTAAGATGTTTA